CTGGCACGCCACAGGTATTTTTCTTTTTTTTTCTTTTTTGGAGAGGTTTTTGCTATAGGGCGCGTGCGCTCGCGAGAAAGACAGAGAGAGACAGAAAGTGAGAAATCACCCCCCAGGGGGGATGGCCACACCGCAATCCCTTCTCCTCCATTCTCCTCTCGGGATCTTGGGCACGCACGCACACGCACCCGGCGTGAGTTTAAGCCGCCGGGTCCAGGACTTGAACCGCAGTCGACTACATGGGAGTCCAGTGACATAGCCATTACACTAACTGCTGACCCCTTTTTCTTTTTTTTTAGAGAGTTTTGTTATAGGGTGCATGTGCTTGCCAGAGACACAGAGACAGAGAGAGAGAAAGTGAGAAATAACCCCCGGGGGTGGGGAGAGAGATGGCCACGCTGTAATCTCTTCTCCTCCCTCTCCTCTAGGGATCTGGGCACACGAGCACACATGCATGGCATGAGTTTAAGCCACTGGATCTGGGACTTGAACCGCAGTCGATTATGTGAGAGTCCAGCAATGTAACCATTATGCTATCCGCTGGTCCTGCCTTTGGTGAGATTTAAAACAAAGTAAGTGTATGAGACAGTGCACATCTGTACGCACGCGCGTGTGTGAGAAAGACGGGCGGGCATCCTTGGCCCCATCTCTCCGCCCTGTGATCCTCTTCCCCAGCTCTCCAGCTCAGGAGGACCGAGGGCGCATGTGCACCTGGGATGTTTGCGGGGGACTCAGGGTCTGAATCCCGCGTCAGTCATGTGGCTCCTGGCTCCACAGTTTAGACCTTACTGCCTATGCCACCAAGGCTGGGCCCTGCCATTTCATCCCTTCCCTGTCACTGCTGACTCTTCTCATCACCACCATCCAGGCCCCCTGGTCACAGGCTCTTCACTCGGTTGTCATCCTGGAATACCGCCCTGGTTTCGCCGTTTATCGTTTTCAAACTCAGAGAAATTAATCTCTGGTCCTTTTTGATTGGCCATGCACTGTTAGGACCACATCCGAACCCATCGGACCTCCATTCCCTGCCTTGGGAGGAGTTTTGATATAAACTGAATCTAGTCGGCCCTCTGTATCCACAGACTCTGTGGATTCAGCCAACTGTGGACTGAAAATGGCATGCCGTTCTGGCGTGTGCCACGCAGTTAGGTCTACACTGGTGCGTGTACAGAACACCTATGGACTTTTTCCCCTTCCTTGTTTCTGAAACAATACAGTATAGCATTTGCATTGTGTTAGGTATTATAAGTAATTCAGAGATGATTTAAAATACATAGAAGGACTAGTAGGTGTCATGATGGTTAAGATGCAGGACTCCCACATGGTGGCCTCGGTTTGCGTCCCAGACCCAGCGACTTGCTATCTCATTTTCCTTCTCTCTTTCTTTCTCTCTGTACGCGTGCCCTATAGCAAATAAAAAAAAAAATAAATAAAATATGTAGGATATGTGTAGGTTATATTCAAATATTATGCCATCTCATGTAGAGGCATTAAACCTGAGTGAGCTTCGGTATCTGAGGGAGTCGTGGAACCAGCTCTCTGTGGACACCACGGATGGCTGGCTGCCTGCTCCTTACTTTCCCTCCAACTTCGGACTCTATTCAGATCGTGTGAAACGGTGCCCTCTAGTGGACAGTCATGACACGCGCATTCTCTGTGGTCAGAGTTGTATGTGAAGGCTATTTTGAAGTGCTGCTAAGACTCACAGCACCTGTTATGAGTCTAGAATGTATTAAATTATTCTGAGGTGCACAGTTTCACTGTTATTGCATGAGCTGACATCAAACCCAAAAGGCAGTGACAATCTTCGTGTCCCTCTGCCCCCTGGTTAGTTGTCGGGGGTTAACTGCAGAGGGAGTCTACACTGGGCTGATGCCGGGAGAAGTCAGCCGGTTCTGACTCTGGAGAAGTTAGTCAGCATCTCTGAAACTAAGCCACTTTTTCATAAATGTATTCGATGAACTCTTACTGAACACCCATATGTCCCAGGCCCTGGGCTGAAAAAGCGACGAATCAGACCTCATGACTGACCTGGAATTGCTGAGAGGTACAGGGAGACAAGCACGGGACACAGGCTCGTACTCGCTATTCCAGTGCGTGTGTGTGAACTTGCTCACTCGCTCGCTCGCTCACCGGACATGTAGTGAGGACCTGGCACGGCCGAGGGACTGTGCCAAGGACACAGGACAGCCACGACAGCGGCTGCACTGACATCGGGTGTGCATCTGCGTGAGGGGCAGCCCCTGTTTTGGAGATAACTGCTCCCATGGGTCAAAGTGCAGCTGGAGGGGAGGGTGGTAGGTGGTCCAGAGGAAGAGGGGTGACAGGCCGTCCGGGCAGCAGCTGAGGCAGCATCCAGAAAAGCCGTAGAGCAGAAGGCTGGGGAACAGGGCCAGCTGGTGGTGTGGCGGCTAAGGCTGCTAGATCCTACATGGCTGACTGTGGTTCGAGTCCTGGTCCTGGGAGCTTGGAAAACATAGCAGCACATGTATCCAGAGAGGAGGACGGAGGACAAGGGATGGCATGTGATTGTCACTCATG